AGTAAAGGTTGGATAACATCGCTAGAGTAAAGGATGGGTACCGTCTCTAGAGTAAAGGTTGGGTACCGTCGCTAGAGTAAAGGTAGGTCACTGTTGTGAGTACATAGGAGATGGAGTAACTTGTGTATTAAAGAATCAAAGGTCTTATGAAGGTGGTGACATTTGATCTGCATCCTGAGAGAAGGATATGAGCTTCCAAAGAGCAGGAAGTGGAACATTCGAGAAATAGGAAAAGTTCTCCGTGACCCAAACAAACAATACACAGATGAGAAGGGAAAGGCAAGTAAGTCCTTGGGGAGAGGATGGGGCTGTGGAGGTCGAGTGGAGCGCAGCCGAGAAGGGACTCCCAGGTTCTTCGAAGGCACCAGCCGGTGATTTGCCTCTCCTTGGTTTAAGGAGGTGTATTAATAGCACAAGGAGCTCTGGTGGCACCATCGGTTAAATACTGGACTGCTAACTGAAAGGTGGGTGGTTTGAAGCTATTAGCCACTCAGTGGGAGAAAGCTGAAGTTGTCACCTTCCATAGAGAGCTGCAGCGTTGGAAACCCGAGGGAGCAATTCTACAGTGTGGTACGGGGTCGCTATGAGTGGGAATTGGCTTGGTGGCAGTGGGTCAGACTTTGGGGTATTACTAACAAGCCTTCCCGGATTCTACGGGGAATAACCAGACCAAGCTCCAATCTCTGAAGATCAACAAACCTGCAAGTTCTAGGAAGGAGGTGTCATGTTTAAGGGACCTGCAGCTGCCGCTGAGCACATAGCAGGGACACGGGAAAGGGGGTGGAAGGAAAACGTGATTAAAATTGACAGCTGCAAAACTGCAAGTCTTGAGACACTAGCTAAAGATTAAAAAAAAAAAAAAAAAAAACGGAAGCAAATCACCCCCAAATCCCCTGCATCACATCCGGTCTGCTAGGGGTCTGAGTCAGGGAGCTTCCTGGTATTGTGCAGAAGCAAATGAGAAAATAGAGAGCGAAGAAAGCCAACCCGATGATGATTTCTCTTGTTCCTATTTCTTCTTCTTTGCACGTCGTTTCTTCCATTTGTTCTGCCCTCCTCCCAGCTCCAGTCTTCCTGCAGAGGGCGGGGAGGCTAGCCAGGGCCTGGGCGCAGGGACAGCTGACATGGGAGGCACGGCTGATGAGTCCAGAGAGCATCACATTACCCAAAAGCTAGGGTGGACCCCGTGTGAAGGGCCACCTTGGCAAGATGTGCCCAGGATGTCCCAGCTTGTAGCTCCGTCTTGTGTGGGATTTCGTCTTGTGTGGGATTTCGTCTCTGCGTCGGCCTGGGTTTTTGTTCTCTGTTTGTTCCCCTCTCGGATAAAAGTGGAATGTCTGCCATCTTGTGGCAAAGGACTGGTACTGACTGGGCCGTTGCTTCTCAACCTCCCTTCGGAATGCTCCTCAGAACTTGGCACTACATCTGCGGCTGTGGCGATCTAGGCAGTGACGCGGGATGGGAGCTTGTGTTTAGGTGAGAGCTTGTGCCAGGCAGTTGGATGAACGGCTGGACGATGGATGGGGTGACCTGTGCGGGATCTGCCAGGGTGAGAAGGAACCAATTGTAGAAGAGCTTCTCTGGGATGGTTGTTGTGAACTCCAGGACCCTGAAAGGCCATTCTCGCGCACACAGAAAGCACAGTTTGTAAAGGAGGGAAGCCAGGCAGGCAGTGTGCGAGGACGCTGCTATGTTGCTGCTCCCCAGAGAAGAGAGACCCAGGGCGGCTCCAGGAGCTTTGGTCCAGAGGTGAGAGAGAAAGTGCAAGGGAACAGAGTGGGCACTCCGATTCGCTGGCCAAAGCAGGGAAACTCTGAGGTCAGAATACCCAGGTGTCATGAGACAGTAGGTGTGTGTCAGGGTAGGGCATCTTGGGTCCCACCTGGAGGCAAGCACTCTCAGTGGTGGTATTTAATTCACTGTGAGGGGTGAGTGCTCAGAGGGTGATCACACAGGACATCAGTCTGGGCTGTAAATCCGTCCATTGAGGGTGTGAATGCAGCTCACAGTGTGAATCTGGAAGCCTCAGGATCAAACTGTGTACTTGTTATTTCAGTTTAGCAACAAGAGATGAGAGATTCCTTCAAATCACTCTCTGGCCAGTAAGCACTGGAGAGGTGGTTGACTTTCTAGAGGCGCTGTAGTGTTGCCTGAAAGGGCTCACACACCCCATAAACCTTGACCTTGAATTTTCATCATAACATTTCATTGCCACAGCCACTCACACCTCAAAGAACTCCTCCAACAGGGTCTTCCTTATCGGCAAGTGTGGGTGCTTGGCTACCACGCACCATGACACGAGGGCACTAGGCCATTTCCCATGGGCAGCGAGGAAGGAGGCCACTCCCTACTTTATACCTGACCATTTCAGCTCGCCAGTTCTAGACTCTCATCTCTTAGGTTCTGGTTCCTGAACACAATTTTGGTAGCACATGCTGTTAGTCAGGATTGAGTCAGGAGAACAGAAGTATTGTAAGTGTTTCAAGCAGGATGGATCGAACAGAGGAAACTCGGGGTTTACAGAATCATTAGAAACGCCACTGGAGTGCCAGTCAGAGAAAATCACTACGAGCCAGCAGAAATTGCCAGAAACCATGGTTTCCACTGTCTCCTGCCCAAGAGTGAGTGATGCTTAAGGGGATGACAAAGCAGATACTGCGCCCCTCTCTCAACACCAGCTGAAGAATAAAAGTGTCTCCTTTTATTCAAAACCAAACCCCACCAACCCATTGCCATCCCATCGATTCTGACTGCAGCACCCCTAGCGGACAGCGTGAAACTGGTCCACAGGGTTTCAAGACAGTCCTCCTTCTGGGAGCAGACTGCCCAGCGTCTTCCTCAGAGTGGCTGGCAGGGTCCAACCCCAGCTGAGCGCTTATCCACTGGGCCACCAGGGCTCCTGCCAGGCCTTATGTGAGCTCTCTCTGATGGAACTCCCAACTGCGAAGTGTAGTTTCTAAGCTCTTGGCCTAGGCAATACTAAGGCCAGCTGAGATGGCGAGGGAGACTGAAACCCAATATCCAAATCCCTCACTGACCCAATCACTGACTTACTCATTCACTGCATCGACTAGGGTCCAATTCATACAACCCAACAGGACAGGGTAGATCTGCCCGTGGCTTCCCAAGAGTGCAACCTTTTACGGGAGTAGAGAGGTTCATCTTCTCACAGAGCAGCTGGTGATTTTGAACTGCTGGTCTTGAGTTCCGCCATTATTTATAAACGTAGGACTTCTTTCATATGCTTGTTGCAGGACTAAATTGGACACTTGTGGAGTCTTAGCAAGAGTGTGCATATGGTCAGTCCTTAATAATTGGTAGTTTATAAGAAAAAAGTTATCAAAAGTGAAGCTCAAATGGCTCCTCACGCTCATTTTGAACCTTGTGAGGACAGGCTACATCTGAGCCATTTCATCACCCACCTGCCCTCTTTGACCTGAAGCCTGTTCCTTGCCATCCCAGGCCTGCTAAGCTTGAAGATCAGCAACTGCCTCGTTCTTGCTCACAGCAATGAATGGTGGTTCAAGGGGGAGAGGAAGAGAAATTTCTCAGTAAAAATTAAAGAAATGGGAAATGGCTGAATATTAACGTTAGAAGCCCCAGATGTGGCCAATTTGAGGACTTTGTAGCAGTCAGTGTCTGATCAGCTTCCTTATGAAAACGCAAGCCCCAGGCTTCCTGCCCAACACCTCCGGACCAAACAGGGTGAAGGGAGAGAGCTGACAGTGTATGACATGAAATGACAGCAATACTAGTGATCATGGATTCACAAGGTTGGGAGGGTAGGGGAAAACAGGAAAAGAGCTGATACCAAGGGCTCAACTAGAGAGAAAATATTTTGGAAATGTTGATGTTAACATGTGTACAAGTGTGTTTAATACAATTGAATGATGGCTTGTTATAAGATTTGTAAGAGCCCCCAATAAATTGAGTTAAAAAAGAATCCATGAAACACATTGACTCTCTGACACTTTGTGCTAAACAACTCTAAGCAGCCTGTCAGAATTAGGACATACCCGGGATCCGAAAGGGAAAGGAAACAAGCTCAAATCCATAGGGGAAACGTTTTCTATTTCTTAGCCTGTCTCCTGCCCCACATAGCCTGCTCCTGTGTTGATGTGTTCTGTTTCTTTCCCTGGCAGCAGATGCCACCAGCTGTAAACTAGGTCAGAGAGAGGGGGGTGATGAGCTGACATAGCCCCTCAGGCCATGTCCTCCCCTGACCTGACTCCCCAGGCTCCCAGGACTAAGTGGGCACGCACAGTCCCTAAATGACCCCTGCTCTCCTGGGGATACTGCTTTGCTCCCTGATCCTGGCCCCATCTTGGTAGGGGGGAGTCCTCTGTCCATACTGGTAGGGGGAGTCCTCTGTCCAGCTCTGTCCAGCTGTCTCTAAATGACCCCTGCTCTCCCGGGGATCCTGGTCTGCTTCCTGCTCCCGGCCCTATCTTGGTAAGGGGAGTCCTCTGTCCAGCTGAAGCAGTGCTGGCCTCGGAGTGGACAAGGTGTCTTCCTGAGCAGGCAGGCAGAGGGCCGCAGAACTGACTGGGCTCAGCCCTCCTTGCCTGCCCCTGCCCTGGGGTACCTCCCACTCTGCTCCCCTGCAGAGCTGCTGGGCTCCCTTCAGAGGACGCTCTTTCTCTCCTCCAGGGCAGCCAGCAGCCACACTAACTGCTGCTTCCCCGGGGGACCAGTATGGCTGCTTCCAACAGACCAGCAGGGTCCAGCAGGCTCTCAGCCCGCCCTGGAGCTGGTGTCTGTGTCATGGGTGGGTCTGTATTAGGAAGTCAGAATTCCCACTGTCAAGTGCCAGCACACCGAGGCACGGGGAAACAAGCTGCTCGCCAGAGTCACAGCGGAGAAGGGGAAGGATCTGTTCTTGGTCTGCCCTCCTGAGCTACCTGTGCCTGCTTCCCTGACCCCCGCTCCCGCGACCCCTAGGACTCCCAGGGTCGGCGCCCTGTTCAGTAGTCAGCCCTTAATGGCCCCTCTCTGTGCAGGTCCTCTCCCAGAGCGGCTATGGGCCAATCACCACGGACATCCGAGAGAAGCAGCCCTTCTACTACGCGGAAGACTACCACCAGCAGTACCTGAGCAAGAACCCGGATGGCTACTGCGGCCTCGGCGGCACGGGCGTTTCCTGTCCAATCGGGGTGCGAAAATAAGCTCTGCTGTCACACGGCGGGCCTTGAGATTCCAGCCCCAACATGCACCCATCAAATTGGCCAATTCCCTGTGATTCATGCCTGTGGCATTTCGAAATGTGCAAAGCGCAAAGGCATCTTTTTTCAGAATCTGGTTGATCGACGTATAATTTACACGAAGTGCAATGGCAGGCTGATTCAATGTCAATCTTCTAATAAAGGTTTATGGGTATAGACCTATGATGATTTTTTTTTCCTGCCTTGAGCTGACAATGAAGCTAATGGCCATGCTATGTCACCTTCTCGGACCCTGGCTGCCTTCCGTAGAAGTTAAGGAATGAAACGGGGAGAGTGTTGGGCTGATGAGGTGATGGTGAGAATTCTGTACTATGCCCCACCCCACTCCAGGTGCACTTGTGCCCTCCTGTGCCTTCACATCTGCAGACGTTGATGGCCTCCGTGTATCACTCACCGTGGTGGTGCAAATTCGCCCAGCGGTGCCATAGACGGAAGGCGTGGCAGTGGGATTCTGTGAAGATTGCAGCCCCCAAAGTCCTGGGAGCCGTTCTCCTCTGGACCACTGGGCTCACTCTACAGAGTCCTCTCAAGCGCCCAGGCTTCCTCTGTGGGGGGTGGTTACTTGGTGGACGAGGGAAGCCTTATGAGCTTGATGAATCAGAGTGCCTCTCTTACAGCTCTGAGAAATACCTGTTCTAATGAGAAATGTCTGTGGCTAGTAATACAAACTGCCTGATGGTTTGTTGTTTTTCCTGCTTGTTTCTATCGGATGTTTCTAATAGATTTTAAGAACGTTAGAAAAATGAGAGAGAGGCCTCCTAGTCATTTTTCCCTCAACTGGGAAGTAATTATGATTGAGATTGGGGGAGGCATGTACACCTCTAGCTCCTTGCCGCTTAAATAATAATCCCCGCTTTCCCCGCTCTTGTCACATCTTTGGTGATGTCTTATTAGAATTAAGGAGCTTTGGTGGTACTGTGAAGCAAGCATCGGACGATTGACTACTAGGTCAGTGATTCAAACCCACCAGCTTACTCCATGGGAGAAAGTTGAGGCTATCTGCCCCCGTGAATATTTACAGCACCGGAAACTTTTTATAAGGTCACTGTGAGTCGGAATCAACGCAGTGGCAGTTTCAGTGTTCTATCACAAAAGGAGCCCTAGTGATTCAGTGGTTAAACATTTGACTGTGAACCAGAAAGTCTGTGGTTTGAACCCAGCAGTGACCCTGTGTAAGCAAGACGTGGCAGTCTGCTTCTGTACAGATTTACAGTCTTTGAAACCAGACAGGACCATCTTCCCTGTGTGAAAGGGTCTGTCTGAATGAGCATTATCTCAAACACACAGCCTTCCTCTAGTTCTTGAATGCTGCCTACCTCACCCCACCCCACCCCACTATCTTGACCTTAATTCTATCTTCTACTGTTCTGACTCAAGGCTCTACTCTTTGTCATAATATAGTACAAAGAAGTATTAATCATCTAGATATCTGATGTACCACCAGCTTATCAATTGCATTGATGACATCAAGCTAATGGAATTTGGTGAACAGGAAAGCTATATGATGATAGATTTACCTTCAACAAGTCTGGGAGGCCAACATATTAGATGCCTTTCTAGTGGCCTGGTGACCTGAAACACGAGGGACCAGCTGCTGCGTCGTGTACTTCCCATCATACAGATGTATACTGCTTTGGATTTGGAAAAGACAAGTAACCACATTTGGGTGGGCTGATTTGAGCCATGCACTGGAGAACTTGACCGGTTTCAGCTGGATCTAGAAGAAGAGAAGACTTCAGCAGGTCCAGGCTGAAGCCACCCAGCCACACACTAGTGTAGTAAACAAGTAAATGAAATATTGTATAGAAATTCTGGTAATTCCTAATAGAAACATCACAGTGAAGATTCTCAGGTTTGGGTAATAACGCTCTGTCATCTCCCTTTTAAAATTAACTCCTGGCTTGTTAATTTTCAGGTAAAAAACTAGGATACTCAAAGTGCTCATCATGACTGGAATTTTATCCTAGCCTCTGAGCCATAAGATTGTGCATAGCAGCCATTTATTGTTTAGTGAAAATTTTCTATGAGATTGGAGTCAAGTATCTGGGCAGTATGAGTAAATTGCAATAGCCGGTGGCTAGAACTCACACGATACCTACAGCTTTTTCACCACCTTTCCTTCAGCAAACACCTTTGGCCTAATAGAGACTCTCCTATGCCTAGTTAAAGAAGAAGAAAATGATGGAGTTCTGCGTCTTAGTCTAGTTGCACTTATAGCTACATAAAGTTTCACTGGTTTTTCCCTCTCGTGAACCTAGCCTAAGACAAGTTCCAAGTCCAGGTAAGTTCCAAGTCTGTGGGTCAGATGTTAGACTGACGGTTTCTGACTCTGGTAGCCAATTAGCCCAAGATTGACAGAAAAATGACAGGTTTGTCATTACAATGGCAAATTATTCCAAAGGAATTGTGGCTGCTGAAACTCCTAAAATCAGCAAGCAGGATGGCATGCTATTGATTCAAGTCCAAAGACCTGGAGAATGATGAGTTGGATACAGCATCCAGACCCAGCAAAAAGCAAACTAGTTTTTCTTTAATGTCTACTTATATTGGAAGCAGGCAACTCCCTCAAGGAGATTAAATCATGGGGGATTTCAAGGTCTTAATTGCCAAACCACTGAGAATCCTGGTCCAATCAAGTTGACATAACTGTTTTCAGATGTATAGTCACTCTAAGTTGACTGCAGCCAGAAGCAGTATTTCATTTGCGTTGAATGAGATTAGTGAGAAAATTGTCCCAGGAGAGAGATTTGAGTATTCTATGTCTACTTGATATGAAAGAAGAGCTGTCCAGAGATTGGTACCTATAGACATTATATGATTTAGGGGCAATGGCTAATGACCAGGTAATGGGAAAAAAGAAAATCAAAAGATCAATTGCAAGGAGGTCCTAAGAGACCATTATATGGCTAGATGTTTTGAATTGTGTTAAAAGCACAAAATACTTGTTTTTCTACAAATGATTAACAAAGGCCATCACTTTGGAGTCCACAAGCAAATGGACTACCACCTGTCTGCCAGTTTGTCACACTGTGGTGGTTTGCGTCCATCCTCTTGTCCATTATCAGTGCATTCATGTCAAAGAGGACATTTCAAGGCCTATCTTGAAATACAATGACATCACACTTAGTAGAAGATCAGCCCAAGGAAGAAGCCTCTCACCACGATGGATTGGAACAGTGTCTACAACCGCAAACTCAAACATAGCCATGGTTGTGAGGATCATGCGGAACCAGGAAAAGTTTCCCTCTGTTGTACATAGGTTACGATGACATGGAACCAGTCGATGTCACTTAACAGCAGTAACAAAATAATCTTCTTTAAAAAAACAATTCGGCCCCCACAACCCCCAGCCTAAGCAGCTACCATGGCCCAGGTTTCCGGCACGGTGTTGTCCTAGGAGGGTTGGCATCTTTCAGATGAAGGCCTTGAAGCTTGTACAAGTTCTCCTGACAAAGTCAATATTAATGACATCATCCCAATTGCTCTCAATACAGACCTGAGAACAATTGGCAAGAAATTCCTTCCCAGTGACATCAATGGCGGAAAGGTAGAAAAGCTTGAAGGTCCATGTGTTCTGCAGATTCAAAAAATTCGCAGTGTCGCTGTACCCAAGGATCATGAAGACTCTCAGGCTGCACCCAGAATGCTGCGCTTGCAGATGACTGATGGTCATATAAGTTGCACAGCAGTGGAATTCAATTATATGTCAAAAATAAGCCTGAACACACCACCTGGAACTAAAATTAAGCTCTCGGGCATTATCGGCATACGGAACGATTCCTGCTCCTGAATGGCTCCAACACCGCCCTTCTTGGGGGGTGAAATACAGCACCTTATTGAGAAGTGGGAGTTACAGAGAAGGTTGTCAAAACATAATAGAAGCAATTTTGGGACTGACGGCGGACCACCTCCATTCATGCCTTTTGGATAGAAGTGTGTGTCTCATGCCCAAGTGGATAGCAGAGAACTTGATCAAAGAAAGACACTGCAAGTTACGATGCCTGCCAAGCCTTCCAACGATGACGATGAATTCAAAACGCAGAGGATGGCTGTGACTGCAGAAGTGGCTAAGAGCAAGGAAACCAAGACATTTGGAGGAGGAGGTGGTGGTGGTGCCAGAAGTAATCTCAACATGAGCACTGGTGGTAACCAAGATCGGGAAGCTTCACAGAAAGAAAAGTCAGCCAAGCCTGAGGGGAGACCTGAAGGCGTCTACAGAGAACTGGTTGAGGAGAAGGCTCTGAAGCACATAACAGAAATGGGCTTCAGTTAGGAAGCATTGAGACAGGCTCTTATGGATAATGGCAACAACTTAGAGGCCACATTGAATGTGCTTCTCAATAGCAATCAACAGAAACCTGTTATGGGGAGAGGAAAGGGCAGCGGGGGGAGAAGAGATGAAGACCTGGGGAGCGCAAGGCCATCAGCACCGAGCACATCGTTTGACTTCTTGGAGTCTAAGATGGGAACTTTGACCATAGAAGAGCCTCAACTCCAGCCCCAGCAGTATCATCAGGGACAACATAGATTTTTTAATATGGAGCAAAATAGAGTAAGAGATATTAATCCACCAAGACGTGTTCCTGGGAATGATACCAGGCAGCTAAGAAATGAAAAGCCTCATTTTCAAAGAGACACCCACAATCCAAAGTCCACTTTGGAAGGCAGTGGGTTACCTAGAAACAGAGGTTCAGAAAAACCAGCCTGTTCAGTACCTGAAGTGTGGACTGCAGAGAGAAGCAGATGTGATAGACCGCATTCTCCATACGATAGAACTAAGGACACTGCATCGTTCGAGTTCCCAGAGCAGCGATGGTGCTTTTAAGCCTACGTGATAGACCGCATTCTCCATACGATAGAACTAAGGACACTGCATCCTTCGAGTTCCCAGAGCAGCGATGGTGCTTTTAAGCCTACGTGATAGACCGCATTCTCCATACGATAGAACTAAGGACACTGCATCCTTCGAGTTCCCAGAGCAGCGATGGTGCTTTTAAGCCTACGCAAAGCAGACCAGGAAAAGGTCGTCTTGTCCCGAGGCAAAAGAAAACCTACTTCCTCAAGAGTCCATAGATTATAATCATCAAAAACGAGGGAAGAGAGAGAAAACCAAAAGGCAGATCCTGATCATTTTTATGACAGAAAACCACGGACAATA